TCCCGGCCACTGCGGAACTGCCAGAGGACCAAGATTTTTCGCCGACGGACGTTTTAAAGTTTATAATCATTTTCCCCGGGCGTCACCCTGCGTACGAGTTACATTTTCGGCCGATAACCGAACCCTCCCCCCGGTCGAACCTGTCATTTTCACGCCCGACGACTATTTCAACCCCCGCGCTTTTCAAATTTGGTTCATTGATCATCGTGATGGCAAATTGAATAACCCAAAAATGTAAACTTTTTTTTCGACTTGTTTCAAAATCAAATTTTGTGTTATCCTTAAGAATCGATGTACGAGCGGATGTAGGTCAAAGAAATTACGAATTCTCGATAGCGACGAATAAAAAAAGTGTTCGAATTCATTTCACCCATGAAAAGCGTTACAATTTCCAAGCGCGCCGACGTATCGTGGCGATTGTTCGAAAGAAACTAATTTCCTGCAAAAAATCTATTTCCTGCGGCCCGTCAAACCAGCCCTATACGGGCCCGGACGTATTATTGAACTCATGACGTTTAATCTCATAAAATTTTAACATAAAATTGCACGACATACGCTCTCTAGTCCAGTAATGATGCTGTCAAAAACAATTCAAGCTAGAATCGAATTCATTCTCATCTCACTATATTTATACCTCACTACTCGTTATTTTTAAACTAAACTTGTATCATTCTTTATTCATTTAATATTCTCAACACGTTTCAAACCCATGCGATCATCACCAGGAAACCGAAAACCAAAATCCTTTTCGGATTTTAGATTTTTAACACTATAATCTTATTATAACTTTCTAAATTAACTTAAATTTTATTAATTACCAAATTTCTTGAGTATTTTTAAAAATTTGTAACAAATCCATTTTTTGGAATACTGATATGATCTTTTCAGGATATATAAAGATAATCATCTATTTTATGAGGGTGCAATCCTATTTTGAAAATCTCATTCAGATGCGGAGATAAAAATTTTTGATTACAACCATATCTTCGGTTATTAACATATTGTTGCATTGTTTTGAAAAAATCGTAAAAAATCGATTTTTAACACAATAATCTTGCATTTTGGTCGATTTATACAACAAAGAGTAACCTTTCTGATGGTATAATCCGTTTTTGGAAATCACTTTTACTTTTTGAGTTATAACTCTTTAATTTAACTTAAATTTTATTAATTACCAAATTTCTTGAGTATTTTTAAAAATTTGTAACAAATCAATTTTTTGGAATATTGATATGATCTTTTCAGGATATATAAAGATAATTGTCTATTTTATGAGGGTAAAATCCGATTTTGAAAATCTCATTCAGATTCGGAAATAAAAATTTTTTATTAAAACCATATCTTCAGTTATTAATACATTTTTGCATAGTTTTGAAAAAATCGATTTTAACACAATAATCTTGCATTTTGGTAGATTTATATAACAAAGAGTCACCTTTTTGATGGTATAATCCGTTTTTGAAATCACTTTTACTTTTTGAGTTATAACTTTTTAATTTAACTTAAATTTTATTAATTACCAAATTTCTTAAGTATTTTTAAAAATTTATAACAAATCCATGTTTTGGAATATTGATATGATCTTTTCAGGATATATAAAGATAATTGTCTATTTTACGAGGGTGAAATCCGATTTTGAAAATCTCATTCAGATTCGGAAATAAAAATTTTTGATTACAACCATATCTTCAGTTATTAACACATTTTTGCATACTTTTGACGAAATCGTAATAAAATCGTTTTTTAACACAATAATCTTGTATTTTGGTCGATTTATACAACAAAGAGTCACCGTTCTGATGGTATAATCCGTTTTTGGAAATCACTTTTACTTTTTGAGTTATAACTTTTTAATTTAACTTAAATTTTATTAATTACCAAATTTCTTGAGTATTTTTAAAAATTTGTAACAAATCCATTTTTTGGAATACTGTTATGATCTTTTCAGAATATATAAAGATAATTGTCTATTTTATGAGGGTGCAATCCGATTTTGAAAATCTCATTCAGATTCGGAGATAAAAATTTTTGATTACAACCATATCTTCGGTTATTAACATATTGTTGCATTGTTTTGAAAAAATCGTAAAAAATCGATTTTTAACACAATAATCTTGCATTTTGGTCGATTTATACAACAAAGAGTAACCTTTCTGATGGTATAATCCGTTTTTGGAAATCACTTTTACTTTTTGAGTTATAACTCTTTAATTTAACTTAAATTTTATTAATTACCAAATTTCTTGAGTATTTTTAAAATTTTGTAACAAATGCATTTTTTGGAATACTGATATGATCTTCTCAGGATATATAAAGATAATTGTCTATTTTATGACGGTGAAATCCGATTTTGAAAATCTCATTCAGATTCGGAGATAAAAATTTTTGATTACAACCATACCTTCAGTTATTAATACATTTTTGCATAGTTTTGAAAAAATCGATTTTTAACACAATAATCTTGCATTTTGGTCGATTTATACAACGAAGAGTCACCTTTTTGATGGTAAAATCCGCTTTTGGAAATCACTTACTTCTTGAGTTATAACTTTTTAATTTAACTTAAATTTTATTAATTACCAAATTTCTTAAGTATTTTTAAAAATTTGTAACAAATCCATTTTTTGGAATATTGATATGATCTTTTCAGGATATATAAAGGTAATTGTCCATTTTATGAGGGTGAAATCCGATTTTGAAAATCTCATTCAGATTCGGCGATAACACTTTTTGATTACAACCATATCTTCGGTTATTAACATATTGTTGCATTGTTTTGAAAAAATCGTAAAAAATCGATTTTTAACACAATAATTTTGCATTTTGGTCGATTTATACAACGAAAAGTCACCTTTTTGATGGTATAATCCGTTTCTGGAAATCAGTTTTACTTTTTGATTTTCACTTTTTAATTTAACTTAAATTTTATTAATTACCAAATTTCTTGAGTATTTTTAAAAATTTGTAACAAATCCATTTTTTGGAATACTGATATGATCTTTTCAGGATATATAAAGATAATTGTCTATTTTATGAGGGTAAAATCCGATTTTGAAAATCTCATTCAGATTCGGAGATAAAAATTTTTGATTACAACCATGTCTTCAGTTATTAACATATTGTTGCGTAGTTTTGAAAAAAATCGTAAAAAATCGATTATTAACACAATAATCTTGCATTTTGGTCGATTTATACAACAAAGAGTCACCGTTCTGATGGTATAATCCGTTTTTGGAAATCACTTTTACTTTTTGAGTTATAACTTTTTAATTTAACTTAAATTTTATTAATTACCAAATTTCTTCAGTACATTTAAAAATTTGTAACAATTTGTTAATATTTGTGTGTTTTTTTTACGTTATTGGATAGAGATTGCTTTTCTAAATTCATTGATGTACAATACATTAACATATATTATAAAACCATTTCATGATGAAAATCGGAATGTAAATAACAGAGTTACACCTTGGGGCGTTTTTTGTGTGACACCCTGTATAGATAATTGCGTATTTTATGAGGAAGAATTTTAAATTACAACCATATTATATAATTTTGAGAAGTAGATTTTAATTTTAATTTTAGTTATTAATTTAGTGCTTAAGATTGAAAAGATGTTTCTTTTATAAATAATTCTTTCAGAATTTTCTGTGACCTAAATCTTTTCATATTGATTTGGTACAAAATTTGATTTTGAAAGAGAGTTCGGGTCGAAGGTTTGAAATTTTAATTGCGTGAAATAAACCCCCGTCTTGGTGATTTTTTAAGTAACCCGCGTCGTGGTGCCCTCACGACTCCACAAGGGCGTTTGCGTTTGTAATTAAAATGTTCTGCTTGGACGCGCCCTTACAGCACTGATCCACTTTTATTCTCGACGCCCTTTGGAGCGCCTCTCTTGCTCGAACTCGCATCTCTATTTAATACATATCGTTTCATTAATGATGAACTAATTTTTGATGTTAAAAAAAGAAGAAGATTAAAAATTACATAAACCGGTGACAAAGGAGTCTGCGGCGCGACTTTGAGTCAGGCCGATATTTAATTTAAGGGTATAAAAGTGTAAATGTAACAGAAGTTCCCCGTGTTTGTATGAGCCGACAAATTGAATAAAAATCTGGCCGCGCTAGACAAAGTTGTCTTCCCCGGAACGGAGCCCTTCCGCAGCTAACTGAATTATTATCCTTTCTCGTAAAAGTTTCCCCCATTTACCCTTAGAATACTCCCGACAAAACTACCCTTGTTGCGTATATTTTCATTTGGAGCACTTAACCGACTAGCGCGATCAACGACTTCCGGATTTATCACTTTGTTTTTTAATTCACTCCTTTTCTTGTAAACACCTCAACATCACTATAAATTTATTATGTAAAGTTTAAATATTTAAATACAAATTTTAAAAGTAAATCATAAAAAGAAATGTATGTTATAATATTTAAATTGTAATGTAAAACATTATCGAAATTAATTTTGCAACAAAATATGATTTCAACTTCCCTCTATTGGGCTAAATATGAATTTTCCACCTACATCCCACCGGCGCCCTCTATTGATTTCACTACAAACTATATATAGAGGTTCGTGTGACTTTAGGGGTCCAAATTACAAATTCACGATTCAATTTTGTTAAACAAATAAGGGTTTTTGCATTAATTCGCTTTCGCTAACGTTCGCTCTTTTATAAATTATTTATAACTTATTTTTCCCCGTTTAACAAACCAACATTACCCACCTCCGCTCATTCTGCATTTTAATAATTTATTTTGAATGTGAATTTTAATTCTTTAATTTAATTATTCATTACAAACGGAAATAAAAGTTATAAATTAAACCATAAATTAAAAATAAACTTTATTTTGTGTAAATTAATAAATATTCCGTTACAAAGCGACATCTATCGTCAGTAAAATCACTTAAAATGTTCGAGAACATTCTAGAACATTATTAATACGTCAAATCAACCATTTTCTGCCACAAAGCCGACGCAGCCCCGTTATTCATTCCTCAACGAGTTTAAATTAATATAAAACGGTATGTAATGTATTTATTTATCGATTTTTAGTTAATAATAATCAATACTAACAAATAATCTCGTATTAATCGGGACAAAACCAAGATTATTTTGTAAAACAAAAAATGCAACATAACCTAACTTTTAAATTTAACTTATTTTTGGCTTTTATCTTGAAATTAATACCCCAAATTAAAACCAAACTAGATTTATTTACCCCAAATTGGTTTTTATACACTTCTTTATCGTTAATTAACTTTATAATCGGAAAAATGAAGTAAATTTTTGGTGGTTCTTCCTCTTTCTCTTCCCCAGCGTGCCCCTATCGTAGTGTTCATAATGTGGCTTAAAAATCAATGTGAAATGGCCCAAAAAACATGTTAAGTATAAAAAGGAAGTGCGGAAAAGTGTAGAAAAATCACTGTAACGTTTCGAGTGTGTCAATAGACTCTGTGTCAATTGATACAAAAACCCACAACGACTGAAATGTCTCTATTTGGGAAATTTTGTACCCACTCTGTTCTTAGCGTTACCCAGGTTGCACTACGAGGAATTAAAAAAGGAAAATTAAGTATTTTGTTATAATAAAAAGTTTATCCTGCAATTCAAATATCTCTCCTCTGCCTTATGTACTCCTCTCCTTTCACAAGATTTATGAAACAGATATCTTGCCAGATTTTCTCTTTTTTTTACCCTTAGCATGTCGTCATGTAGACTCTATAGCCTCTCCATTTTTGAATCCATATTGGAAGTAGAGAGATTTCTCTACCCACAAATAGACGAATCCTAAGGTTTGTCAAATTTCAGAACGATACAGTCTTACCATATCTTTGCCTTTTCTATTTCCGAATGGAAACGCTTCCATTACATACCCATGTATAGCCATGAGGTGCTATACTCCTTTGCTGAAGGATCATTGGGGTCTCATATTGCGGACATTTGTAATCACCTTAGTTGGACATGAAACGCCATTCTCTCAGGCATCAACCCAATCTTCCCCCTCAACGAATATAAATTAATATCCAGATATTACCCATCTTCTTGATTTCATTACTACATTGCTCTACTCGCCCGGTGAGGTCATTGCAATTACTCCATTCCAGTCTTCCAAGGCTTTCTTCATGGTCAGCTCGTTCTCAACGCTTACGTATGTTGTGTTATTCTCGTAGAGACTGAGTTATGAGCGTTCTTGGTATGTCCATTTCTTCCAGGATGTGCCAGAGATTATGCCATTGAACTTAATCGAAGGCCTTTGTGCAATAAGGCATAAATAAGTAGGCATGATAAATTCTCTAGTCTTTTCTATGATTTGTCTTATGTTCAATATTTTTCCTCGCGTTTCACATCCTGGTATATTCCGCTTGCTCTGGTGTTAGTTGTGACAACATGTAAGACTTTCAAGGAGAATCACTTTGCTTGCGTGCGAGATAAGGGTAATTTTTCGATAATTGTCACATATCTCTCTGAAACATTTTTTATGGAGTGGGAAATATGTTGATTTAGTCCAGTCCTCAGATCCCAAATCAGTTGGCATAGTCTGTGCATAACATAATATAGTATTGTCATCATTTCGGCCACAACGTTATCTTCCTCTGGTGATTTGCTGGGTTTTAGATTTCTGAGTGCAGCACTTACGTCTTCTCTCATAAATGATGGCTCTTTTTCTGGGTACTCTATTCTTTGTTGTTGGTTGTAGGCATGTCAGGAAAATAACTACCGTTTTGATCCACTACACTGGATATGATTGTCACAAAACGATTAAATATCGGAAATTATGTTCATAAAACGAAGCGACTTGGTGCTTCGACATTTCTTACTTAATACAATGATGAAGGAGATAAATTCTTAAGCAAAATTGTAACCGGTGACGAAACTTGGCTTTGTCATGTCACTCCAGAATATAAACAACAGTCGATGGAGTGGAACAACAAAAATTTAATACAACTTTGTCGTCACTAGGCATCTTTCCATGATGAAAAGGGGGGTCGGGTATAGATTTTAGGTTATCTTTAGGTTATAGATGGTAAACAACGACGTTTTAATTGTTGTGGGTGGAAAATTTAAGAAACAACTGTATTTCACCCGAAAATATGCGTTTTCACCAAATGTGCTGCGAAAAGATATGGTTAGCACGGTCGATAACGTCACATGATGATTCTTGAATTATACCAAGTTTTGTCTCTTCCCAACAAGACCCTTGAGTTACTGCATAGTCTTCCCTTGGCTAGCCGCAATTTGTCTCACTCTCTCTTCCCATCTTGGTTTTGGTCTCCCTATACTCACCTATGCCATTCGTCTCACGCTGCCAATCATTATCTCAACCATATTGAGCTCTTCTCGAATACAGCTGTTCCGTACTCAATCCCATCGTGGTTTTCCTCCAACCCTCCGGAGGTACTTCATTTGGATCGCATTAACCCTACTGATGTCCTTTCTATTTGCGGCCTAGCTTTCACTGCCATAAGTATAGGCTTTGTCTTGGCACACTTCAATCACACACCGACTCAGGGCATAGTAAGTCTTGGTAGCCTCAAGTTGATCATCACATTCGATGTGGATGTTATCCACTTGTTTCTCTGTCCTCCCACCGCCATAACTCCTCCTTTTGAGTTTCTGACCCTGTTGCAATTTCCAAGCCTGGCACATGATCGAAACCACCCAAGTTTCTGTTCATCTCTTGCATGTCTTTACTACTTCATTCACAACAGCTACAAATAGCAATGACGAACATGTTAGATGTCTTCCCGTTGAGAAATGAATTATTTTTTATAAGATCAAGTGACTCTCCGATCTCCAAGACATATTTATTTATTGTCATAGATGATAATTCATTGAACATTGTCGAAAGATATAAAACTATGGACCAAAACTTGTCTTTCTTGCCAAAAAACAAAGGTTATTAACTTCTTCACACCTCAGCACACCAAATCTTCTCTTCTAAAACTTCCAATTCCAAAAGGCAGATTTGAGCATATTCACATTGTTCGTCCACTCACTCTCTCCTTAGGATGTTCTTATGTTCTAACAATCATAGATAGATTTACTCGCTGGCCAGAAGTAACTATTTTCCAAGATTCGGTGTTCCACACACAATTACGCATGACCGGGGAAAACAATTTGAATCCCAATTTCTTGAGCAATTCAGCAAGTTAATTGGATCTTATCAGAGTTATACATCTTCCTATCATCCTCAAAGCTATGGAATTTTAGAGAGATTCCATAAATCTCTTAAAACACCTATAATGCCGGAGGAACCAACAACAGGAGGAACAACGATCTCCCGATGATTTTGTTGGGACTCAGATCTTCTCTCAAAGAGGATCTAGGATGTTGGTCTGCTAAATTGTTTATGGTCAACCTCTCCGTTTACCTGAGCATTTTTTATTAATTCACATGTTACTCTTAAGACTGAACCTCTGCTTATTAGTTTACAAGAAACATTTTCAACTGTTAAAAAACTTTCTCCTCAATATGAGGGACCATATAAAGTTATTAAAAAATTTGAAAAAAATATTGTTATTTCACGCAACAACAAAGAAATGACTGATAGTACTTCATCAAAACACCATCCAACTTTTAAACGAATCTGTGCCAAAAGATGGTTACCCGAAGGAATTTGATTTAGTGTTTGATGCAGATGTCTCAAGACCCTTGAGTTGCTGCATAGTCTTCCCTCGGCTGGCTGCAATCTGTCTCACTCTCTCTTCCCATTTTGTTTTTGGTCTCCTTATACTCACTTATCCCATTCGTCTCACGCTGCCAAACCAAGACAATCAATCATTATCTCACCGGCTGCATATTGAGCTCTTTTCGAATACAGCTTTTCTCCAACCCTCCGGAGGTATTTCATTTGGACCGCATTATCCCTACTGATGTCCTTTCTATTTGCGGTCCAGATTTCACTGCCATAAGTATAGGCTTTGTCTTGGCACACTTCAATCACACACCGACTCAGGGCATAGTAAGTCTTGGTACCCTCAAGTTGATCATCACATTCGATGTGGATGTTATCCACCTGTTGATCTGTCCTCTCACCGCCATAACTTGACTCTTCACCTTGTTCAACATCATGCCCCTCTCCTTTTGAGTTTTTACAATTTCCTCTTCGAGTCTGCGATATAGACTACATCATCTGCATATATCAGAGCGTGGCACATGATCGTTCTGAGGTTGAGCATGCCGACCACCGAAGTTTCTGTTCTTCTCTTGCATGTCTTTACTACTTCATCCATAAAAGCTACAAGTAGCAATGACGAACATGCTAGAAGTCTTTCTGTTCAGTGTGCTGTCGTAGTCTCCTGTCGGCAAATTGCCCCTTTCCAAAGGGAACCAACAGGAAAAACGGATGAAATCTCGGATCGACCACAACAACATAAACCAAAGGAAATTTCTACAATTAACGTTTTACAATCTTATTTGTTGCAACAACTTAAACTGCTATGGCACTTTGAATTGCACAAGAGTGCTTTGCATTCACAACTACATTTAGTCGTAGAACACTTCTTTTTGCAATTACAACGTGTATAGCCTTGTCCTCCACTTTTAGAATTAGCTGAAGCTGTTTCGGCGATATTTCTTGATTAGAAATCTCATTCAGGGAGAGTAACTTTTTATTTTCGTTGCTTGGACTAAAAGATTCTCTTTTGAGGTTGACCTTTTTGCAGAAATTAACTCGTGGTGTTCAGTTAATGCTTTAAATGAAGCCGACTTCAATAGAATTTCGGTTGTCCTTGTGTTGATGTTTAGTCAATGTTTGAATGGATCATCTTCAATAGAATTTTTGCCATCCTCATCATTTCCAATTGGAATATGGACACTGCCCACATTTTTTTTTGATCAATTAGCGATTTCTTCGAGCTGCAAAGAAGGCTTTATATGGGCTCTGGCGTATTCCTTCGGGGTAAGTTGTGTTCTTGGCAAATTGGACAAGGGGCAAACCTTCTGGCCATTTCTTTGAATCATTATCGTTCATCCATGCAGTTAACATATTTTGTATATCCTGATTGGCTCTTTTTACTGAGCTTGCACATACTACATAGTTCGGATATAACTTGATTACTAAATTCTTTACCATTACCCGAATGTAATATCACTTCTTCCGCTCTCTTAGTTTTTAATGGTCGTAGCTGGACTAACTGTGTTAAGTGGTCCTAATATACTAATATAAACTTGGAATCGCCATCCTTGTATTACTGCAAGTCAATCAGATCCACTTGCCATCTTGAGTTTACCTCAGAACTGACCATTGTTTACACAAATTTAAGTACAACTTCATATATAATACGTGATCTATCTCGATGGTCTGTTCTAATATGAGTTTCGGAAAGTTTGTTTCTCCTGGTTTTAATGGCACAATCAACTTTTCTTCATCAGTAATGTTTAAAATGTCAACACGATTTAAACGTCGATAATCCAAAGGTGTGCTGCACTCAGCTTTAGCAGAATTAACTTCCGAAAGTAATTTAGCATGGTTCACTACACCAGGCATCGTTACAGTAACTGATAATTATGACAAATTAACAAACTTTGCAAGCACCCCTTTCTAAAAAGGTCTGAAATCCGCCAGCTTCTCATCCAGTTCTTTTTCAATGCAAGTCCTTAGGCGCCTCTCCAAGATTCTGGAGTATAGTTGTGGATGATTATGTTTCTGCTGGTGTCCAGATTTTTTAATTTCTTTGGTCAATACCTGCCTTCACCATTTCTGGTACTATTTTGTCCTCCTCAGCTACCTTTCCATTCTTCATTTTCTTGATGTCTTGCACTTCCTCGAGAGTTATTGGCTCTTCTTCTTTATTTCTGATTCCTTGCATTTACTGTGACCATGATACTTTAATCTCTCTTTTTAGTGTTTTTATTCGATAACAATGTCGCAAGAATCCATCAAGGTTGCTATCAGAGCATCAAATCCGATCAAAAAGGATCACCCCAAACTGAAGAGTAGTGGTTGGGTACTTCATGAAAACACCATCCAACCTTTAAACGAATCTGTGCCAAAAGATGGTTACCCGAAGGACTTTGATTTAGTGTTTGATGCAGATGTCTCAAACAAACAAGTTTATGAATCATTTGTTGCCCCAATTGTTGCGTCATCAATTGAAGGTTACAACGGAGCCGTTTTTACTTATGGGGCAACATCCACTGCCAAATGGTTCACCATGGATGGAACGATTCAAGATTCAGGAATGATATTGAGATCGATTGAAGATGTTTTTAAGTCGATCAAAAAATTGCGCAATGGGAATTATTTGGTTCGATGCGGATACATTTTGATCCACAACAATAAAGTTTACGATTTATTGAAATACACCGGAAATGAAATAAAAATCACCAACGCTGGTTCTGGGCAGCTCACCTTCGGGGCTAGAGAAGCCGTAGTTTCAACGAAAATCCAAGCTGTTGACCTGTTTTATCTTGGACTGAGAAATAGAATGATGTACATCCAAAATTGCAACTTCAACATTAAACATTGCAACTTAATATTTCGAATTGTAAGTTTTTATGTTAATTTTTTAAATTATCTAATTATTTTATTTTTATTATTATATAGAATATTGAACACGAAATCAAAGAAGAGAATGACACGAAATTTGCATCTGCTCATTTGAATTTGGTTACATTAAGTGGGTCAGAACGTGTAAGTCGTCCTGCTCATTCTAGGAGGTTTACTGAACGCGATTATACCAATAAGTAAGTTATTAAGGTATAAAAGTAAAAATATAAAATTTTGTGATATTTTCTTTAGATATATGTCGATGTTTGCTTCAACCATCGAAAACAAAATTAATAATGAACCGGTTAATTACAACGATTCAATTTTAACCATGCTTTGTCGTAACGCCATCGGGGGGAATGCAAAAACCGCTTTTATCGCGTGTTTCACTAATACATCAGTTGAAAATACGCATTTCACGTTAAAGTAAGAATGTTATTTTAAACTTTTTACAAAATTAAACTCATTCAATTTGTGTTAATAGCTTCGCTCACAAATTAAGAAAAATCGAAAACTTTACTACTTTGAACATCACAGGACAACATAGCGTGATTCGTGAAATTACGTTGCAAGTGGATGAGATTGAGAAGAATATTGATGATATTAAATTTAGTTGTGCGCCGCTGGTTAGTGATTAAAAGTTAATTTTTTAAATTATTTTTTATTAAAAAAAATTTTTTAGAGTACCGTTGGTGTGGTAATGCAAACGATCGATTTGTTGCACGATAGGATTAAATTGCTTGAATCCGTTTTTGTGAAAGGTGATGCATTTGAGGAGACTGAGCATGATTTCAGCACTTTACAGATAAACGCAACGCAACTGAGTTGCTCTTCACTCGAATTGCGCATTCTTAATGTTTTCTTAGCTAATATGACGTTTAGAATTGAGCATATAGGCAATAAAATTAAATTGCCTTTCGAGTTGTTATATTTTACTTTATCGATCGAAGCAGGAAACGAATTCATTTCAAATACTCCCGAGAATTTTTTGGAAGATTTAAACGTAATTGATTATTTACACAAAATTGAGTAAGTCTAAATAACATAAAATTATTTTGTATTAAAATCCGCTTATTTAGTCCTGAGGATCATTTGGAATTGCCGATCAGCGATGATGAGACAGATGTTTCTACTGATCAAGACACAATTGATATCGATGTTTCCCCTTTAACATCGGAATTTTCCGCTTTGGAGAGATCCATTCATTCCCAAATCCAGGTGATTATTAATCAATTTGCGCCCTAATAAATTAATAACGTTTATTATTTATTATTTATTACCAGAATGAAGAATTACGAGCAGAGCTTAACAATTTATCCTCGATCTTCCATCTCAGACTCGCCGAACAATACACCATCAACTCAAACGCCAAAGCGAAAAATAAAGAACTCCTCCAAAAATTTGCTGCGTTAAAAAATAAATACGCCAATGAAGAGGCAGAAAATAACATCAGCACCGCGCGATTAGAAACGGTCGAGCGTGAATTAGCACTGCGAAAAGCACCGGTTCAAGGAGATATCCGTAAACAATACGATTTACTTCTCCTGGAAGCCGATAAAAAGGATATGGAATATTTCAGCGTGAAACGCGAGAAAGACGAACTTGAAAAACAAGTTTACGAGTTATCCACAACGTTGGAACTTTGTAAATCGGCTAAATTGGCGGGGAAAAGTTGCAAAAAATTAACCGCCACTGAATCAACGCTTCGTTTATTACAATCTGAAATACAAGACTTAAATCAAAGATTAGCCGAACAAGATTCTATCATGGAAGAGATGACCATGAAACATAAACATCGCGAAGACGATCTTCTTAAGCGGGTTCACGATAGAGAAGCACCTCATGAACGAAGTTTCATCTCCGTGCCAAGCGCTGAGAAGGAAATTCAAGCTACACCCAGCTCAGAAGATGTTGTCGCTCAAACGGAAAAAGAGTAATAACAAGCTTTTTATTGTTTATAATTTATAATTCACAATATTTTTTCCAAATTTTGCTTCCTATCCATCGCCTCCTCCCTCCTCCCTACAAGATCTATTGTAACTTTAACCCTCCAAAGGTTTAGCGCAAATGTAGGTCCTTGATGAACCTTAGTGTTATCCTGAGGCCTTGAACCTTTATGTCGGTAGGTGTCAGGTTTATGTTCAGCAGTTTCTGACTCGACAAGTTTGATCCTCAGGTTGTCCAATATGGAAGAGGTGGTATTTTAGGGGCCGGTCAAGTACCTGGGAGCGTCCTTACTTTCCCTTTGCTGAGGCATAAAACCTCTTTGGTTTTGTTTTGCGACGTAGTTATCATGATCTTCGCTTGTCTGTGACCTGGAAGTTCTTTCTTGGAATTGCCTTTAAGCATGCACCTTTTTGTCCCTTCTGTAGGTTCAAAGCGGTGCAGAAGTTTATAGCAAGAACTTCTGCTTGGAAAATTGTTATGTCCGAGCTGAGAGGCAGTTTAATGTGGCTATTTAGGGCTCCTCTTGTTAGTTGAGGCCCTCCCTTCGCCCAATCATCCCTGCTTCTAAATATGACCTTATACGACTGGTTGAAATTGTATTCTGTCCGTATAAGATCCATTTTAATTTCAATCAAGTGATTTAGACATGGGTTCTTGAGGATTTCGAGGTGTCCTCTGAGGTTACCCTGCATCAACTTGAGTGAAGAAACTGTTTTCAGTGATAAGGCACTTGAAGCTGCCTCCTTTTGTATATATAAATGGAGCGGTGTGAGATCGAGTAGGGCTTCCAAAGCAGCCGTCGGACACTATCTCATTGCACATGCTAACCGTTGGATTTGTGCCAGCTGTTGTTGTGCTGTCTTATGTTTTGTTTTTGGCCACCAAACCAATGAGGCGTATGATTATTGCTACGTAGGCCCAATGAGCCATTCGTGGTTTGAGACTCCAGTTCCTTCCTAGGAGCCTGCGGCAGATCTGGTTTGCCATGATGGCCTTTTTCCTCACCTTATCTAAGTGTGAGTTCCAGTTTAGTTATTACCCCTAGGTATTTAACTTCTGTTTTGAGGTTAATAGTTCTGCTTTCAATGGAGGGTGCTTTTATTTGGAGATTCCTTCTCCGAATGAAAGGGACTATTTCGATTTTATTGGGATTGATGCTGAGCCCATTGCTTCTACACCAAGTACTGGTGAGTAATAGGGCTTTCTGCATTAGTTGAGTTATGATTGTATCATATTTACCTCGGATTGTGATTACCAGGTCATCAGCATACCCTTAAATCTTGAATCCGTTTTTCGTTAGAGTGTTTGTTAGGCACCATAATAGCGGTGATAGCACTCCCCCTTGGGAACATCCTCTTAGAGCCTTTATAGTCAACATCTACGACCGATAGAAGTGAGCAACAAGTAAATGCGACTATTCGGGGTGTACGGTCCAGGTTTTAACTAAAGAAACAACTTTTTAAAAAGCTAATATTTCGGTTATTTATTGTAACCTTCCTCAGAGCATTTTTTAGCGCTACAAGAGATTAACAAAAGTTAAAGTTAAAAATTTCTTTAATGTAATTAACACTTACTTGTTTAACCAAGTAAGTGTTTTAAACAAGTAAGCTTTTTAAAAAGTTGTTTCTTTAATTAAAACCTGGACCGTACACCCCGAATAGTCGCATTTATAGTCAGCGACTTGCCTCCCAGACTGTCTGTGATCTGCCGACTTTTCAACATGGCTATACACCACTTGATTGTCGACGGATGTATATCTTTTACGTTTAGAGCCTTCTCTATGGATTCATAGGAGGTGTTATCAAACGCACTTTGGTTGCAATTGCCTCCTCTAAAGTACTAGCCAAAGCATGGAGAGCAGTGATTGTTGATTTTGCTTTCTGGTAAGCATGTTGGCTAGGGTGGAGTGGATTAGTGACAAGCACTCCATTCCTAAGGTATTGATCGATTACCTTTTCCATCCCTTTGAGGAGAAATGAAGTTAGGCTAATTGGTCTGTATGCCTTGGGGTCGGCGTTTGAACGCCTACCACCTTTACTTTCCTCCATAGTTTCCCCCATAGGGATATTATTACTGGGAGAAAGTCTTCTAATCCTTTTTGCAGAAAAATAGGCAGAATTCCATGTCCTACAGACGATTTTAGGGGCTTGAAATTAGAAATAGCCCACCTTACTCTGTTGGGTGTAAAAATGCTCCCAGCTATGCTGCGAACCCTACTTGATGGACGGGCTATGTCCATTACTTCAGGGTCGGCATCATTCAACGATTCCTTAGTATCCTCTGTGTATTTACCATCTTGTTTGCATAGGTGGTGTAGATCAGTGTTGTAATCTTTTACCAATATCTTATGCAGACGAGCAACTGTAGGCGTATTGTCTATGCCTTCACAGAAGCTGCGCCAGGTTTTTCTTTTGACTTTGCATATAACCAAGTTATATTCCGTTAGGGCTTTCCTATAGAGATCCTATGTTTGCTCGAATTTGGAATACCTGACTTTATTATATAGTCTTCTAACCATGACTCGCTGTTTTTCAAGGTCCTTATTCCACCAAGGCACATTGGATTGTGCTCTTTTGTATTTTATTGGACAGCTCGATTCATATGCACTATGTATAAGATTGTTTAGTTGAAAAGAGCTTTCAATATCTGTTTTGATTTCGTCGGCCTCTTCACTGATGTGTCTACAAAAAGAGCACCAATCAGTGAGTGAGGGGATTCTGAATTCCGTTTGTTTTGTCATGTCTGCTACAATGACAAAACGAATATGCTTGTGATCCGCTAAAGTGATTTCACGTGAAACATGCCAGTTTGCGATTTGCGAACTGAGACGAGGCGGTTCGTTACCTCTGTGGAGGATATCTAAATTTGTACCTTGTAAGTATTGGTAAAGGTACTCACACCTTTTGTTTGTGTCTGAGCTGTTCCATGAGAGATGGTGTGCGTTCGCTTCGCAGCCCAGGAGGAGTTGTTTCCCCCTCTTATTGCAGTAGTCTATGAGGTCTATGATCGTCCGATTCACCGGGGAAGTATGCCGAGGCTATAATCGCCTCTTACTTACCTCCCGGCGTCGGCAGTACCGTTGACATTGCAACCAGGTCCCTAGAGATAAACTGGGTTAAAGGTAGGCAGTTTAGAGAGGATTTAGCGAGTATCGCTGCTCTCGCAGGGCACTCTCCTCTATGATAAATTAACTTACCTGCTTTTGTTGATAGTCTTCTGACTATTCCTTCATATACATATGACTCTTGGATCAGCGCAACATGTTTGTTGGGGCTGTGGAAACCCTTGACCAGCACGTCGGAGGCGCTTTTACAGTGCTACATGCTGGCCTCCTCCATCAACAGATACTTTGGCAGTTCCTCTGTCAGTATCTCCCCATACCTTACTTTATATCTCCTTTCCCCTATCTGTGACCTTCTTTCCTGCTTCTGTATATCCCTATCCGTACCTCTCAGTTTTCTCCACTCTCCTATAATATCCTTCCCTATCTCTCAGCTCATATATCAGTCTTCCTTCTATCATTTCCTCGAACTTCACTGCTCTTCTTCCAACCTCCACCCTTACTACATCCACCTTAATCTCCTCCCTAACTACATACCCCTTTTTTTAACAAGGTTGGGAAAATCTGCTAACATACATTCGGCCTGGAATCTTGTGCGGCCGGATAGTGTGGGGTTGAGGATCCACTAAAAACCACTTCTCATCTCATCTCATATCTCTCCGCTTCATTCCACCTCCCTGAAACCCTCCCCTTATCCTCCTACACCAGGAAACCCATAACACGCTCTCAGCACTCTTGAAACTCCGTTCTCATCTAGTTTGGTCTCGTCGAATATGAAAGAGATAGTAACAAAAAGACAACTCCGTTATATTTCTACAGTAATCAATAATTTATATCGTACCTAGTTAGGGTTTTTTTAGAAAAGTTCTACGTTGTTTTTTCCTCCATTTCCCTCGTGATGATGACCTCTCTTCCGAATTCTTTTCTTCGCTTTCTAGCATAGTGACAACACAGTTTTCCGGCGATAAAACAATTCCCAGATTTTCGTAAGTTTCTGCCCTTCTCTCTCTGTCCATCTCATACATTTGAAAAACTTGTGCTCCACATCATCCACCTTATCTTTATAATATATGCACGTTTCGTCGTCACTTCTCTTGTATGTATGGAGGTAAGCTCTAAAACATCCATGTCCACTCAGGAACTGGCTCAGGAAGTAGTTCACTTCTCCCCAGTTCCTAGCAATCTATGGCGTCACCCATCTCTCTTCTGCTTCTTTTTTTAGCTATCAGGTCTATGGGCGTTGTGCTTCCTATCACAAATAGACCCTCCGGAGATGTTGTTCTGTATGAGCTTGTAAAAGATTTTGTAAATCCTTTCAAGATGTTTTTTGTTTCAAACACTTCACGCCATGCCTTGCAACCATATAGGATTTGCGAATACATGACGGAGCCGATTAATTTTCTCTTCTCTGCTCTCGGTCCGTAAGTCGATCCCATCACTCTATTCAAAGCGTTTAGTCTTTTCTAATCACTATGGCTAGGTCGTCTGCATATGCGAATAGTTTTCCCTCTTCTAGGTTTTCTCGCTGTTCTTCTACCAGAAGCTGGTCAAAGAAGACGTTCCAAAGTAATGGATCCAGTATGGAGCCTTGAGGTACTCCTCTACTGATCTGATATATGACTCCATCATATTCGATTACTCGGTCGTTTAGATGGTCTTTAATGATGTTCAGCAGATTCTTCGAAATTCGCTGATCCGAAGACTTCCTTCTTTTGTCCCGTTTGAACTTTTGCAGGTTCCTGGTTTCTCCAAGCACTTCCTCAATTGCGGTTACCGTGGATTTGCCCTTCTTGCAGCTCCTCCTCAAGTGCATGATAGCTCCCTATAATTTACCTGCTTTCCGATTAGCACCAATCTACCATTCTTCCAAAGCTTTGGGAAGGTGTTATTTTTAATAAGCTCGTTGTATAACGTCGTTATTCTCTCGTCATTCTCTATGCTCTCCCTCTCGTATACCACACTATTTCCATCCGGGAAAGTTCCTTTATTAGCTCCCTACCCTCCTCCTACCTCAGCGTAACTCGTAAAACATCAGAATACTCTATCAAGTCCCCCTTTCTTCCTCTTCTCTCCCTAACCTCTTCCTTCTTCTCTTTCCTTCGTGAACATTGCATAGCCGACCCTCTTCTTAACCTCTCTCTCCCTACAGCGATGGAGTTAATTTCCTCTTTCTTCTTTTTCCTTCGTGTTTACTACTAATGTCTCTAATGTAGTCTTCTACAGCCACCTATTTTTCTCTGCTCTCCAACATATTCAACACGCAGTTTTCGGGGGTTAGTCGTAGTCCTACTTTCCTTTCCATTTCTGTTCTTATCTCTTTCCACCTGTTGCACTGGAAGAATGTGTGCTCCGCGATGTCTGGATTCTGGATTCGCGGGAATGCAGGCTGAACCGCTCGCAGCACTTTGACCTCAGCAGATCCCTTATACTTACTTCCCTCTTTTGGTCAGTATTAGGGTCCTTCCAGCCATATTGTGCTGTCCTGATTCCACTCATACGAATCTGGATATCTCCAAAAATGGATAACCTTAATGTTCGGGGGGCCACGCAGTCGCATTTCGCCGATTCCTCCTCCTCACCGCAACCTCTGCAAATGTCGATGTCACTTATTTTTATGTTTAGTAAGTGCTTCTGTAGATGCTAGTGTCCAGTGATTAGACGTATGACCAAACGTAGGTGCTTCCCGGACAGCCTCATAAATAAATTTGTTCGTTTTGGGCCAGGGTACATCAGAGCCTCCTTGGCTTGGCGACATCCTGGTGTCCTGTCCCAGTAGTTTAGAAACTTCTTACGTGTTTCCTCTTTTTGAAGCTCTATTAAAGACCTTATTGTTGGGGCAATGAATGGTTCTGGCCCTAACAAGGTCTCCTTGTCAGTTTGTCCACCATGTCATGAAGCTTATTTCCCGAATGACCCTTTGTCCAGCAGATCGTAATCTCATTGCTAGCAGCTGCCTCACAAAGATTGTTATGGCAGTCCAAGCAACAAGGATGAAGAGCGATACCGCCCGAGCGAGAGGAGGGCTTGTCTGCAATCGCAATATATTATAATTTTTTTGTTGCTAATTTTCTTGCAAATTTCCTCAGCCACCAGCTCCGCTTGGAGCGCGGTGGGCCAAATTCCCAGCGGTTTAGAAACTTTTATTGTTGGTTCGACGGAATAAACCGAAACACCAGAGCCAGTTTCCCTACGAGATCCGTCCACCCATAATTGGAGGATAGTTTCGTCAAGCATGGATTGTTCTCCTACTTTTATTTTATACGGTTGTTCGAAGATAAAACGCGTTGGAATCCTATCTACCCTGCCATTCAGGAGCGGCTGTTTGCTACATGCCTCCTCTCATAGCTGGCTAGTCGATTTTCCACATTTATAAAGCCATTTATCGTTAACCTCCGCGATGTGTATCTTATTGCAGTAACGACATCCATGTCCTCCAATAAACTGGCTACTGTGCATACTGCTAAATCAGGCACCTTCCTCTTAGTCGTAGTTACTACTCTCCCATCGTCTCTGCCATTCCGTCACTATCTGTTCCATCCCTTCAGCTTCACCTTCGTTGGTGTCTTTATCTTTCTTTAATTAATATGTCTATGTCTATGATATGTCTATATATCCCTCTTTGCACTCTGAGGAGCTTTTCTATGTTCTTTTTTGTTTCTATTGGATTTATTTCCATGTTTTGGAACCACATAGAGCTGGGAGTATATAACTGATCCGATCATTCTACGTTTTTCGGCTTTTGGACCATAAGTTGATCCCATGATCCTATACAACGTTCTTTGCGCCTTACCAGTGACGTATTCTATATGGTATTTCCAGCTCAGATCCTTTCCGATCATTACTCCCAGGTATTTAAGAGAGTCTTTGGACTTAATCGCTACGTCCTTAACCTTAACTTCTATCTGCCTTGTGTTTCTTCTGCTTTTAAGCAAAATTATTTCTAGTTCTGCCTTTTCTATCCTTTTCTTTCCTTGCTACCTCGTACTCCGTGTTTGCCTTTTCCTTTGTGGTTTCACTATCTTTACCTGAGTTTACACTAGTCTTTGCCTTTCTCTTTTTGTTTGTCTCTTCTTTTGCTCTTTTAACTTTTTCATTCCACCAATAAAGTTCACCTCGCTGTCGGGTAACTTTTCTTTTGCGCCCGTATATTCGTTAAATTATTTGGGGTAAGATCTTCAATTACCTGTATTCTTTTCTTTATTTCGCTCTTATATTTTTCGATCAAGTGTTCTTTTCGTTTCCATCTCTCCTCCTTCCCACCTTCGTTGTTAAATTTTTTGCAGTATGCCGTTTTTATACTAAATTCTATATTCAGGTGATCACTCAAATTTTCTTTGTCTAGTACCTTCCACTCTTCTATGTTATCTATCCACTCATTGTTGCACATGGTGACATCGATGAAGGATTGCTGTTAATGCAACTAGGTTTCTTTAGCCCATCTATTCTGTCAAGTGCCTTCCTCGCTTTTTCAACTCGCAGCAAGTATAGCCTATCCAGCTTCTTCTTCACTGGCTCCGTCGCCTCCAACCATGCCTCATTCTGGATCTTATCCTCTCCTCTTTGCACCCCTCGCTCTCCCTCTCCTATTTTTCTCTTTTCCACCCCTCCCAACAATCCCATGAAGTAGGTTGTCCATTCCATCATTTCTATATCTCTGCTGACTTCCTCTCTTCCCTTCCTCATCCTCTTTAAGTATATCCCAGAAAAAGAGTAATATTATTTGACTCAAAACTTGCCCCTAAATTATTTTTTTTTCTTTTAGATACAAATTAAGTTTAAACGTTTGTTTGCAAACTACCCCGTATTTTGAACCTGTCGTTGAAGTTAAAGAAACTGAAATTCAAACGGACAAAAAGTAATTAACAAAAATATTTATTTTATTTTATTTCTTTGATTGTTTTAATTATTTTAGGGTTGCGGAAAATGTTGCTACGCAAACTCAAAAATGGTAAGTTTTAATTTTTTTAATCAAGAAAAAATAGTAAAAATGATTTTTTTAGCGTCATCATCCCACGTTCTTCGAGCAAACCTGATTTAGCACCAGTATCTGAAAATTCCCAAGAATACAACACTGTTAAATTTAGTACGAGTCAAGCTACCATTCGTAGTACTAGTAGCATTGATCCAGTTACTGGGGAGACGTGAGATATAATAAAATAAAATTATTCTTTAACATTAACCTCATTTTTCTCCACATTTAGGTTGAGTCCAATAGAAGAGGAATGCCTCGTCGATTTGTAAATAAAACCTATTATTTTATTCTTACTAACTAATTAACTAATTAAATAAAATTATTTTTATAGGAGACGATGTGATGTGATGATGGAAGATAACAAATCACTTCTTAGGAATGTAAATAGGTTACATGTTGATTATATAAAGGAAATTGGCAAACACACTGATCGCGATTCCGCATTACACGAAGAAATGCGCATGAAAGAAGAGGACCTTTTCCGGGTTAAATCATCATTGCAAACTATCATTGAAAAATTACGAAACTCCAGCAACGAGTTATTTAAAATGAAAGAAAGGCGTGCTTCTTATAGAGTTTGTGCTAGCAAATCTCAAATTCTTCAAACACTTCAAAGTACTTTTATTCATAATTATAACTAATAATTTTAATCAATTAATTATTTAAACAGTTACAGATTGTGAGAGTTGTTCTGAATTAACTGGCAAACTTAAGCGATTAGAGAAGAAAGTATCTGAGCTTGAGTTGTCTGAACCTCTGGAAAAGAGCCGGGAAAGAATGAATGTAATTAGAATGGATGTTAATAAGCTTCAGAAAGAAAGCAACGAATTAAATGAAAAGTACATTAAATTAAAAGAAGAATATGTAAGCAAGCTTTATTATGATCATTTCTAATTGTAATTTTATTAATTTTATTGTAGGTGATTGCATTGCTGATGATTGAAAGCCAATCAGAAGAATCTCAACAAACAGACAAAGATTAAATTTAAGTTAAAAAAAAATTTTTTGAATTATTTTGTGTTTACGTTTTTTTTTTTTCATTTCTAAGTTCATGATTAAATTGTAATATGATTTGTTTACAAATTTTGCTAAAAATAAAGTTTGTTAATTCACAGCGTTATCTTTTAGGGTTTTTAACAACTTCTTAATTAAGATTATTTTAATAAATTTATAAAATAATTAACCAGCACCATCTAGTAGTCACTAGCCAAAGTTACTCACAAATTTAGGTTTCGGGGAATTACTTAAATACAAGTTCTTGTGGTGAATGGTCAACACATGTCGCAGTAGTTGTTTTGTTATTCTCTGTGCGATGTTGTGGAACGCGTATCATTAGTTACAACAATTACTTTAAAGTAAGTATTTTATACTTTACGAATAGTGCCACACAATATCTCAAATAAAATGTGTACTAAAAGAACACAATAAAATTGCCGATCGTAAAAATAAAATTAACATCCGTCGTCTTCACAAGGTGAGATAGATAAGGTACCATTTTTAACAATTTTCTGCTATATCATTAGCGATCTAAAATATTTAAAGCCGAGGTCGCTTGCGGCCGAGGGTATGCATGCAACATTTAAACTGTTTTTTTAATTATAAATGACGATTTAAAAAAGTTAATTTAAAAAAGCCAGTGGTGGATTTAAGGTGGGGCCGATCGCCCGGGATGACAGGGTCAAGATGGCGCCAGAATCAATGGACGCGAATATATTAAGTAGCTAAAAACGTAAAAATAAACGTAAACCAACAATAAATGCAATACTTTGATATAGATCTTAAATTTTCTTTTTGAAATACTCCCATTTTTTCTGTTATATCTGTAGTTCAGTTAAGTTTCAATGTAGCCGGGTTTTACATCAGTTATTTGAAGCTGAAATTAGATTAAAAATGTGCTTCAACGACTGATACAGATTATATTTAGCTGAAAATAATCTGTCTTTCAGAGGATAAATTATTTACCTCAAATAATGGTAAATTTCTAGGGCTTGTACAATTATTGGCAAGGTTTGACCCTGTCATGTCAAATTAGCAAGGAAAGTTGAGTTGACTGACCATTATTGTGGCAAAAATATACAAAATGAATTTATAGAATTAATGGCATCGCATGTTAAATCCACAATATTATGCCACATAAAGAATTCAAAGCATTTTGCAATCATAGCTGACTGTACTCCTGATATAAGCCATAGAGAGCAACTCTCCCTAACATTAAGGTGCTGTCAGTCCACCTTAACCCATTTATGGCCGTACTTTACATTTTTGCAAAAATGTATGGTATGGATTTTGCAGAGTGCACTTTTTTCTCGAATTGTCTTCCGATTTTTTTTATTAAATGCCCTACGTTGTCGAGTCTGGCGGTAAACTTTGCCTTGATTATTAAAATTCCAAATAATGATGAAATATTTTTTTTTATTTATAAAATCAGTGCTACAATTAATGTTTCAACCAAATAGGTGATCTTTATCAAGCACGACTAAAAATGAGAAAAAACAGTCATTGTGAGATACAGCTTTATTAAAAAGAGAGGAGAAATCTGAGGAGAGTATCGGATATATTCTCTATTATAAGTATACAAAAGCATGAAAAAGGAGGTCTCTCTAAACAAGTTTTGAAAATGTCAAATTTTTCTAAAAAAATTCCATTCAAGTAACATTTATAAAAAATCAGAAAACAGGTGAACTGATCAGTAAATCTGTAAACAACAAAATAAATTAAAAAATAGTTCGTGATTTGTAACAATTAGGAAACTCACCATTTATTATAAAATTGGAAATGAGGGCAGGTGTGGGACGAATAGAAAAAACTCTTCTGTGTGAACTTGGTATAAAAAGCGCAAAATTAAGTCTAAAGTTCTACAAATACCAAAATCAAGTCGGACAGAAAAAGAAAGCCTTACAGTCAATTAAGACATCCAAAAATAAAGTTAAATGAGTCGAAAGCGTGCAGCTTGAAAAAGCTTGCCTTGATATTCTACCGTGAGAAGAACTTTTAACATTTGTTAATTCAGATAGGCCTTCGAATTTCATAAAAGTTATAACCAAGAAGGAGCGAAACTGTTAGCCATTTTAAAAATTTTCTAGCTGTTGCCTATTGCGCTATATGTCATGTTGATAAACAATGGCCACCACCATTTTTTCCCTCTTATTTTGGTTCATGGTATCAGAAACGTCAAACATGCCTCGGCAGCAAGCGACATCGGCTTTAAACATTCTTCAATCATTTATAATTAGAAAACAGTTCAAATGCATAATCTAATGCCTCGGCCGCAAGCGACCTCGGCTTCAAACTTTTTCAATCATTTATAATTAGAAAACGGTTCAAATGTTGCTTGCATAATCTAATGCCTCGGCCACGAGCGACCTCGGCTTCAAACTTTTTTAATAAATCTGTAATAATCATTTATAATTAAAAAATAGTTCAAATGTTGAATGCATAATCGTCCATAGCAGCCAGATTCTCCATTTTGTAGTGTTTATTACATCTCCCGTTCTCAGCAATCGATCAAGCAAGAAAGATAAGAATTGGTACAGTAAATAAAAATTTTCCACCTTGATTCTAAAAATACTTCAACTCTGTTTATAACACCGGCCATGAAAGCCCTACATCAACCAACCTAAGGAATTTCCGAAGGCTACGATACAGCTCAGAGGTGTGTTCCTGATGCCATCAGTGGTCGGCCATTCGAGTGTCATTTTGTCCATTGCAGTATAACACAGTTATGCACTGCGGTCTTCTCCAATATCAGATGACAACCCATAACAAGTCCTAAGGTAATTGTTATTCTACTCAGGGCTAAAAGCTTGTCTACTGTCAGTGTAAATTGTAAAAGTTTTACCTACCAAGTTGGATCTGACGATAACGTCAGCGGCAAGTTGTATGGCGATTAACTCCGCCTGTATGACGGTGGTACTTTTACCTAGAGGTTCAGATACGTGGAGTCGGAGATCGTCAACCATCAGTGTAGATTTTAAGGCTGTTTTTTACCTCTACTTCTGTGGAACTTGGGTGGGTGAGATATTTCTTCGTAAAAATGTGTTGTAGGAGTGTGAAGTCCGTTATGCATTCCAGAATTGGTGAGTAGTCCACCATTTCATTCCAGAGAATGGCATTTTTAATTTTGACATTTGAATTCCTGCTGCTCGCAGTCGAATCATGGTCACCAGTGCCACCTCTTGGATGAACAAATGGAGTGGCGTTAGGTTCAACATATTTTCCATGGCTGCAGTGGGGGTAGTCCGCAGCGCACCTGTAACATACAAACACGCAAGTCTCTGTACTTTATTAAGCGCAGCAGTGGATGTAGACTGTAAGATCTCTGAGCACCATACTACTGCACCATATTTAGGCATAGGTCGGATTACAGCCGTGTAAATCCAGAGGGCATTTTTAGGTGACAAACCCCATGTCTTACTTATAGCCCTTCTTTTGACAACACCAATGGAGTATTAGCAAGGGATGGCATTCTGGGCTTGTCAAACTTCCTCATCCGTGTGAAAAGAATCAACTCTGTCTTCTTAGGATTCACAGAGAGTCTTTGTTCGTCACACCAAGTCTCTATTAATTTGAGAGCTACTTGCATCTTATCAAAAAGCACATTTATGTACCTGTTTTTGACAAGAATGTTTAAATCATCTACGTAACCAACTGTGGTAAAGTTGCCTTCAGCGAGGCGTTTCAAGAGGCTATCCAGGGTGAGGTTCCACAAAAGTGGGGATAGTACACCCCCTTGTGGACAGCCTCGAGTAACTCCTCAATCATTTATAATTAAAAAATAGTTAGTATAATCCATAGCAGCCAGATTCTCCATGTTAATGTATAGTGTTTATTACATCTCCCGTTCTCAGCAATCGATCAAGCAAGGAAGATAAGAATTGATACAGTTAAATAAAAATGCTCTACCTTGATTGTAAAAATTCTTCAACTCTGTTTATAACACCGGCCGTGAAAGCCTTCGTACTTGTAGTTCAAGTGTTGCATGCATAATGTAATGCCTCGGTCACAACCGACCTCGGCTTCAAACCTTTTTCAATCTTTTATAATTAGAAAACAGTTCAAATGTTGCATGCATAATCTAATGCCTCGGCCGTAAGCGACCTCGGCTTCAAACTTTTTCAATCATTTATAATTAGAAAACAGTTCAAATATTACATACATAATCTAATGCCTCGGCCGTAAGCGACCTCGGCTTCAAACTTTTTCAATCATTTATAATTAGAAAACAGTTCAAATATTACATACATAATCTAATGCCTCGGCCGTAAGCGACCTCGGCTTCAAACTTTTTTCAATTATTTATAATTAGAAAACAGTTCAAATGTTGCTTGCATACTCTAATGCTTCGGCAGCAAACGACATCGGCTTCAAACATTTCTCAGTCATTTATTATAACAAAACAGTTCAAATATTGCATGCATAATCTAATGCCTCGGGCGCAAGCGACCTCTGAATCAAACTTTTTTCAATCATTTATAATTAGAAAACAGTTCAAATATTGCATGCATAATCTAATGTCTCGGCCGCAAGCGACCTCGGCTTCAAACATTTTTCAATCATTTATAATTAAAAAACAGTTCAAATGTTGCTTGCATAATCTAGTGCCTCGGCAGCATGCGACATCGGCTTTAAACATTTTTCAATCATTTATTATAATGAAATAGTTCAAATGTTGCATGTACAATCTAATGCCTCGGCCGCAAGCGACCTCGGCTTTAAACTTTTTTCAATCATTTATAGATAATTAAAAAACAGTATAAATGTTGCATGCATAACCTAAAGCCTCGGCTTCAAATTTTTTTCAATCATTTAAAATTAGAAAACGGTTCAAATGTTGCTTGCATCATCTAATGCCTCGGCCGTAAGCGACCTCGGCTTCAAACTTTTTTCAATCATTTATAATTACAAAACAGTTCAAATGTTGCTTGCATAATGTAATGCCTCGGCCGCAAGCGACCTCGGGCTCAAACTTTCTTCAATCATTTATAGATAATTAGAAAACAGTTCAAATGTTGCATGCATAATCTAATGCCTCGGGAGCAAACTACATCGGCTTTAAATATTTTTCATTCATTTATTATAATAAAACAGTTCAAATATTGCATGCATAATTTAATGCCTCGCTCGTAAACGACCTTGGCCTCAAACTTAATCATTTATAATTAGAAAACGGTTCAAATGTTGCTTCCATAATCTAATGCCTCGGCCGCAAGCGACCTCGGCTTCACACTTTTTTCAATCATTTATAATTAGAAAGCAGGTCAAATGTTGCTTGCATAATCTAATGCCTCGATAGCAAACGACAATGGCGTTAATCATTTTTCAATCATTTATTATAATAAAGTAGTTCAAATGTTGCATGCATAATCTAATGCCTCGGCGGCAAGCGACCTCGGCTTCAAGCTTTTTCAATCATTTATAATTAGAAAACAGTTCAAATATTACATGCATAATCTAATGCCTCGGCTTCAAACTTTTTTCAATCATTTATAATTAAAAAACGGTTCAAATGTTGCTTGCATAATCTAATACCTCGGGAGCAAACGACATCGGCTTTAAATATTTTTCATTCATTTATTATAATAAAACAGTTCAAATATTGCATGCATAATTTAATACCTCGCCCGCAAGCGACCTTGGCCTTAAACTTAATCATTTATAATTAGAAAACGGTTCAAATGTTGCTTGCATAATCTAATGCCTCGGCAGCAAACGACATCGGTTTTAAACATTTTCAATCATTTATTATAATAAAACAGTTCAAATATTGCATACATAATCTAATGCCTCGGTTGCAAGCGATCTCGGCTTCAAACTTTTTTTAATCATTTATAATTAGAAAACAGTTGAAATGTTACTTGCATAATCTAATGCCTCGGCCGTAAGCGACCTCATCTTCAAACTTTTTTAATAAATCTTTAATAATCATTTATAATTAAAAAATAGTTCAAATGTTGAATACATAATCGTCCATAGCAGCCAGATTCTCCATGTTAACGTATTGTGTTTATTCCCGTTCTCAGAAATCGATCAACTAAGAAAGATAAGAATTGGTACAGTTAAATAAAAAGTTTCCACCTTGATTCTAAAAATACCTCAACTGTGTTTAAAACATTAATTTCGATAAAACTTTTTATTAATAAAACATAAACTATACAATAAATAACGATTTCAAATTAACAAAATCAATCGGCTTGTATTTCCGTTTTAAAAACATTTAAATAACTTTAAAGTAACGATATGTGTATCCGGGTTTCACAACGTAGCATTTATGAACTTCCGTTAACTTCCACACCTTATATTTCAACAACTAAAAGTGATTTTCTAAAAACGAACACACCAATGTGTTAGCAAAGTGAAAAAATTGTTATTTACTACTATTTTATTAAATTTAAAGTTGTTTCTATTCATTTATTTCTTGTTATTTGTTACAGAGTGTTGGATGATAGGTTTTAACCGGATATCCGGTATAAAACTTTCTGGAAGCTTTCGAAATTTCGTGTTCTGATTGGCTCTCGATGCGAATTCAAATCGTGGCTTTTTTCTTATTGGTGGATTGTTTTAATGGTAATTTGGTGGGGGGAAGGTCTATATAAAGAGAAGTCATACAGTTTGGATTTAGTTGCGGTGTAAATTTCAACGGTGAAGATCTCCACGAAAAAGTGCAAGAATAAGTGTGGTTAAAATAGTTTTTAGTTGGAAAGTTACCAGGTATGACAATAATTTTTTGATTGCTAAGAAGTTATATTAAGAAGAAATTTTATACTGTTGACCACCATGTTGTTTATGTGGCGTCCATTGAACCGATTTAATCAGATTGCATTAACGTATCTTAGTTATTATCTATCGGATATTGATTTTTGGTAGAAGGAGGTCACAAAATTTTAGTTTACATATTTACATTAAAAATTATTCAGATTATTAACTTAAAGTAAGAAAATTACTTACTTTTCTAATCAGTCGCCATCTTGTTTAAATTGAATGACATTTATTTATTTTTTTTTTTATTAGATAATCGCAATTATGGCGAGCGAACATGTGATAGTTGCTCTAAAAGAATCACACCCCAAGAAGCTTTTAGCTGATAGACGTAGTAGCTCATGGATGTTATCTGAAAACTCCATCCAACCATCAAATGATTCAATTCCTAAAAGTGAACACGCAATGGAATTCGATCATGTTTTCGATCGTGAGGCTACAAATAAGTTAATTTTTGATTCAGTGGTACTCCCATTAATAACTGCAACAGAGCAAGGCTACAACAGTACTGTTTTTGCTTATGGACCATCAGCAACTGGAAAATCCCACATGATGGAAAAAACTGTTCAAGATCCAGGAATTATTTCGAGAACGATCGACGAAATCTTCCAATTAGCTTCCAAAGATTCCAAAAATGATCACTATTTAATTAGATGCTCTTTTTTCATGATTCACTACAACAAAGTTTACGATTTGATGAGATTCCTCGAAAAAGAAGTTGATGTCAAGAAGCTTGAGAATGAGCAAATGGTGATTTGTGCTAGGGAAGCTGTGATTTCAACGAAAGACCAAGCATTTGATATACTTAATTTGGGAATGAGGAATAGATCTTTATATGTCACAAAGTGTAGACTCAACATTAAACACTGCGATATGGTGTTTCGTTTTGTAAGTTTTTTTTTGATTTATTTTTTATATTTTTTTTGTTTATTTAAGTTTTTTTATCTCATCCGAAAATAAGTCTTTCATTTCTTATTACTAACTTTAATCTTTATTACTTTATTTATAGATTAATTAAAATAATAATGGACTTTAGGTGGTCTTTAGATTTTCGTACTGTTTAGTTCATTTTGGTGGAGGAGCTAGATATTTTTGATTTATATTTCATGAGCAGTTGAGTCTTCACCAAGTTATCTTCTGCTACCTTGATTGATTTTATAATCTTAAATGTGGATGCTCCAATTGAGGAGCAAAAGTGCCAAAATTGTTAATCAGCGAAATTTAAAAAAACCACATACCAAAACGACAAACTTTATTTCTAAATAATTATCTAACACATATTATTTGCCTTACGCCTAAATATGCTACGACGAAAATAACAGGAAAAAAATGAAAATTTGAATATAATAAAATAAAAAAAAAATAGGAAACGGGTTAAGTGCCAGTATATTATTTTGTTAAATTACTGTAGAATGCACGAAGGTCACTACCTGCTGTTTATCAAAGAATTCCAGAATAAATTTTGAAACTGCTAATAAAATAGGGTAAAAACGTCTCGGCTTTAAAAAGAAATAAAACCATCCGCTTAGCCGTGAGTTGCAGGGTTGAAATTTGGTGTGAATATAGCTTCAACATCATAGTTGATTTTCGTTAAAATTAGAGTGCTACACATGAAGGGGTGTCAACCCTTAATAAAAATAGTTGAAATTCGCAATGTTAGGTGAAAAAAAAAAAAATAAAATCCACCCCTTAGCCGTGAGTTGCTGTGTTGAAATTAGGTGTGGATATAGCTTCGACATCCCTAAGTTGATTTTCGTTAAAATTAGAGTGCTACACATGAAGGGGTGTCAACCCTTAATAAAAATAGTTGAAATTCGCAATGTTAGGTGAAAAAAAAATAAAATCCACCCCTTAGCCGTGAGTTGCTGCGTTGAAATTTGGTGTGGATATAGCCTCGACATCCCTAAGTTGATTTTTGAAGGGGTGTCAACCCTTAATAAAAATAGTTGAAATTCGCAATGTTAGGTGAAAAAAAAAAAAATAAAATCCACCCCTTAGCCGTGAGTTGCTGAGTTGAAATTTGGTGTGGATATGGCTTCGACATCCCTAAGTTGATTTTCGTTACAATTAGAGTGCTGCACATGAAGGGGTGTCAACCCCTAATAAAAATAGATGAAATTCGCTATTAGGTGAAAAAAAAAAATAAAATCCACCCCTTAGCCGTGAGTTGCTGCGTTGAAATTTGGTGTGAATATAGCTTCGCCATCCCTAAGTGGATTTTCGTTAAAATTAGAGTGATACACATGAAGGGGTGTCAACCCCTAATAAAAATAGTTGAAATTCGCTATGTTAGATGAAAAAAACAATAAAATCCACCCCTTAGCCGTGGGTTGCTGAGTTGAAATTTCTTGTGGATATAGCTTCGACATCCCTTAATTGATTTTTGTTACAATTAGAATGTTACACATGAAGGGGTGTCAACCCTTAATAAAAATAGTTGAAATTCGCAATGTTAGGTGAAAAAAAAAAAAATAAAATCCACCCCTTAGCCGTGAGTTGCTGAGTTGAAATTTGGTGTGGATATAGCTTCGGCATCCCTAAATTGATTTTCGTTACAATTAGAGTGTTACACATGAAGGGGTGTCAACCCTTAATAAAAATAGTTGAAATTCGCAATGTTAGGTGAAAAAAAAAAATAAAATCCACCCCTTAGCCGTGAGTTGCTGAGTTGAAATTTGGTGTGAATATAGCTTCGCCATCCCTAAGTTGATTTTCGTTAAAATAAGAGTGCTACACATGAAGGGGTTTCAACCCCTAATAAAAATAGTTGAAATTCGCAATGTTAGGTAAAAAAAAAAATAAAATCCACCCCTTAGCCGTGAGTTGCTGAGTTGAAATTTGGTGTGGATATAGCTTCGGCATCCCTAAGTTGATTTTCGTTACAATTAGAGTGTTACACATGAAGGGGTGTCAACCCTTAATAAAAATAGTTGAAATTCGCAATGTTAGGTGAAAAAAAAAATAAAATCCACCCCTTAGCCGTGAGTTGCTCAGTTGAAATTAGGTGTGGATATAGCTTCGATATCCCTAAGTTGATTTTCGTTACAATTACAGTGCTACACATGAAGGGGTGTCAACCCCTAATAAAAATAGTTGAAATTCGCTATTAGGTGAAAAAAAATAAAATCCACCCCTTAGCCGTGAGTTGCTGAGTTGAAATTTCTTGTGGATATAGCTTCGACATCCCTAAATTGATTTTCGTTACAATTAGAGTGTTACACATGAAGGGGTGTCAACCCTTAATAAAAATAGTTGAAATTCGCAATGTTAGATGAAAAAAAAAATAAAATCCACCCCTTAGCCGTGAGTTGCTGAGTTGAAATTTCTTGTGGATATAGCTTCGACATCCCTAAATTGATTTTCGTTACAATTAGAGTGCTACACATGAAGGGGTGTCAACCCCTAATAAAAATAGGTGAAATTAGCTATGTTAGGTGAAAAAAAAATAAAATCCACCCCTTAGCCGTGAGTTGCTGCGTTGAAATTTGGTGTGGATATAGCCTCGACATCCCTAAGTTGATTTTCGTTACAATTAGAGTGTTACACATGAAGGGGTGTCAACCCTTAATAAAAATAGTTGAAATTCGCAATGTTAGATGAAAAGAAAAATGAAATCCACCCCTTAGCCGTGAGTTGCTGCGTTGAAATTTGGTGTGGATATAGCTTCGACATCCCTAAGTAGATTTTCGTTAAAATTAGAGAGCTACACATGAAGGGGTGTCAACCCTTGATAAAAATAGTTGAAATTCGCAATGTTAGATGAAAAAAACAATAAAATCCACCCCTTAGCCGTGAGTTGCTGAGTTGAAATTTCTTGTGGATATAGCTTCGACATCCCTAAATTGATTTTCGTTACAATTAGAGTGCTACACATGAAGGGGTGTCAACCCCTAATAAAAATAGGTGAAATTAGCTATGTTAGGTGAAAAAAAAATAAAATCCACCCCTTAGCCGTGAGTTGCTGCGTTGAAATTTGGTGTGGATATAGCCTCGACATCCCTAAGTTGATTTTCGTTACAATTAGAGTGTTACACATGAAGGAGTGTCAACCCTTAATAAAAATAGTTGAAATTCGCAATGTTAGGTGAAATAAAAAAATAAAATCCACCCCTTCGCCGTGAGTTGCTGAGTTGAAATTAGGTGTGGATATAGCTTCGACATCCCTAAGTTGATTTTCGTTAAAATTAGAGTGCTACACATAAAGGGGTTTCAACCCCCAATAAAAATAGTTGAAATTCGCTATGATAGGTGAAAAAAAATGAAAGCCACCCCTTAGCCGTGAGTTGCTGAGTTGAAATTGGGTGTGAATATAGCTTCGCCATCCCTAAGTTGATTTTCGTTAAAATTAGAATGCTACACATGAAGGGGTTTCAACCCCTAATAAAAATAGTTGAAATTCGCAATGTTAGGTGAAAGAAAAAAATAAAATCCACCCCTTAGCCGTGAGTTGCTGAGTTGAAATTAGGTGTGGATATAGCTTCGACATCCCTAAGTTGATTTTCGTTACAATTAGAGTGCTACACATGAAGGGGTGTCAACCCCTAATAAGAATAGATGAAATTCGCTATGTTAGGTGAAAAAAAAATAAAATCCACCCCTTAGCCGTGAGTTGTTGCGTTGAAATTTGGTGTGGATATAGCTTCGACATCCCTAAGTTGATTTTCGTTAAAATTAGAGTGCTACACATGAAGGGGTGTCAACCCCTAATAAAAATAGGTGAAATTCGCTGTGTTATATGGAAAAAAAATATAATATATAAAACACATGAATGAAAATTATAACAGCCAAAATAACAATAGACGAGAAGCCAACAAATATTTCAAAAAACTTTTAAAAATTGCAAGATTTAATGAAGATGAATGGAGAATGACAATACCAGACCAAACTTGTTATCTTTGTATAAAATTTGTCAACAAACACAAACAACATTCTGCATAATCTACCAACTTTTAGGTAAAGGTATAATTTCTCAGTCTTTATTTTTTTTACCTTTCATATTTCAGTAATAACAGTACTAACACAATTATTTATTGTGTTCGAACTGACTTTTTTAATTTATTTTCATATTTGTTTCTTTGTATTATATTAAGTTTTTGACTGTTATCATAGATACTTACTTTCATATAAAAAAATCTTCATGCATGTGTTTTATACATAATATATATTATATTTTTTTTCCATATAACCTAGCGAATTTCACCTATTTTTATTTAGGTTGACATCCCTTCATGTGTAACATTCTAATTTTAACGAAAATCAACTTAGGGGTGTCAAAGCTATATTCACACCAAATTTCAACCCTGCAACTCACGGCTAAGGGGATGGTTTTATTTCTTTTTAAAGCCGAGACGTTTTTACCCTATTTTATTAGCAGTTTCAAAATTTATTCTGGAATTCTGGGATAAACAGCAGGTAGTGACCTTCGTAACATTCATTTAACACAACATGATCATGTTTTCTATGTTCAATCGGTTTCACTGTGCGTTTTAATCTTAGCGACGGATTTGCGACGTGGTGGAATTGACAAAATCCGTCGCTGAAAAGTCGTCGCTAACTTCACTCCAATGTAGAATGCTTGGTGTTTATAGTCTTGTAGATAAGGAATCATTGATATTAAGTGTTTTTTTTTTGTTGTCACTGACCTTATTTATGTCTGGTAGCTGGTTAATTGTGATATTTTTTAGATCTTGCATAGTTTTTCCTCTTTTAAGTATCGGCGTTGCTTTCCATGGTGTTAGTTCAGAAAAAGCTTCAGCAGTAAAGAAAATACCAGGTTGTTGGGAGTCAATATTCAATCATACAACTTTGCTAATATTCACTTTTTTGAGATTTAAGATCTTGTCGGCTGTCGCTTGTACATCAAAAAAATTTTTTGTGTAAGTCCTCAGGTACCATCGAAGCGCACTTACGCTTTCTTTTCTCCATCAAGGCGAAATCTCTGCCGCACTGAAGGAAGCTATGTCCACTGACAAGATACCTATATTCGATGGTATCAAAGAGTCCATAAGTCACTAGAAACACGTAAATAAATACAATCATTCTGTTTTTATTTTGGACGGTACAGTTATCGCTCCAAATAATAACATTCCTTTTTTTCTGTAATGCCCATATTTAGGACGCGTAATAAGCAAGACGCAATCTCGTTACCGCCACGTCCTGCCACTCCTTCATGCCAGCAACACATGTATAAATCTTATCCCCAAAGCTGATTCCTAAGTTATAGCATGAAAGTTGGCTCAAGTAAAACTTAAAAATTCATGAGCCGCTTTTTTTCTTTTGTATGTCTTCATATGAGCCATGCCTTCTCCTCTTCACGCCAGTCAACTGCATTAAATCCATGATGTCAACTCTGCACTTGTAGTATTTTTCAAAAACAGCCAATCTATTTGCGTAATTCAACGACTTGCACCCGAATTTGCATTTACATGTTATCTGTAAGAGTTTTAGAGTTTACACAAAAAAATATGGTTCTAGTTCATGGCATTATTTACATACGTACAACTATATTAAAAATAATAACACTTCTAGGTTAGGTCTCCTTTTTTCACCTACAGCATTTCCATTTTTGCTTTTATAGGATTGTCCTGCATTTTTTCGTTGTCTTTGTTCGTCACTTAATCTTCCCAATCCTTGTTTGCGACGTTCTAAATTCATTTTGAAGTTCACTTTATACTATTCAGCAGCCGTGTGACACGAAACGATATACTCGTATTCCGGTTGGATGTAAAAAAAACGAACGCTCAACACAACAATGCCTACTACGGCACTTGACTCGTTTGATGTGGAAATGACCGAGCACTTGCAGAAAGCATCACCTATCAGGCAGATGATTGTTGACGGAATTTATAGTGGCACTTTACCCATTTGATAGGATATAGTCGATGGCACATAGAACCTGTCTATGGAAATATCTCATTTTTTGGCAAATTGGCACTTAGCCCTTTGTTACTTCTACTCCTCAATTGATGAATGTGGAGTCGCTGACATTCACAATATTGCTGATCATTCACTTGTTTTTGTCACATTATCATTTGAAATACGTCCAAATCCTGTTAAGAGTATTACTTATAGAGATTTTAAGGATTTCAACTCGGAAGCTTTTCTGGATCATCTGCGTGCTTTGCCTTGGTGTGAATTTTTGCATATGTCTAGTATTGGTGATAAGGTTGATTTCTTTAATTATCATATTATTAATCTTTTCAACATGTATGCACCTTTCATGTTTGCAGCTGAGGGATAAAGCCTATAAGTCATTTAAGGCTTGCAGACTACCCTCTGATTTTACCTATTATAAAGAACTGCGTAATTTCACTTCAACGTGAAAAAAAAGTTTTTTTATCTCACATATTCAGGGGTGGTGATTTCAGGAAATTGTGGGGTCTTTAGGCATTGGCGGTAATAGGACTGGTAGTATTCCTAGCAACATTGGTGATGCTGATTTGATAAACAATTCTTTTTTAGCCTCTCAAATTACTAACTCTGGTGATGCAGAGCTTATTAAATTCTACATCTCTAATATTCTGCCTCAGATCTATACCACCTTATTCTTTTCCTTAGCCTCGGAAAAGGAAATCTATCGTGCGCTGCAATCTATTAAAACCAATGCAGTTGGAAGTGATTAGCGTAAGGATGTTACTTCTGTGTTGCTCTGTGATTGTTCGTATTTGTGCCATATTGTCAATCTTTGTCTGAAGCTGGGTGTCTTTCCTGATTAATGGAAGACTGCCTTGGTGTCTCCCATCCCTAAATGCAGTAAATGATCTTCGGCCTATTAGCATCTTAAATGTTTGCTCTAAGGTAGTAGAAAGGATTGTGGCTGCAAAGATTTGGGATCATCTTAATACTTTTAATTTACTTCCATCTACTCAGTCTGGTTTTCGTCCTGGTTTTCTGACCGATGATATCTTGCGTGGATTGGATGAGGGAAATGTTACGGTTCTCATCCTAATTGACTTTTCTAAGGCGTTTGACTCCCTCTATCATTCGACTTTACTTGCTGTGCTTCATTATGTTGGTTTCTCCCCGTTGGCTATCGATTTTTTCAAAAACTATTTTTTACATCAGGTGTACCTCAAGGATCAATCTTGGGACCAATATTATATCTAATTTACACTATTAATCTTTGTTCCAATCTAAAGCATTGAGCATGTCCGAACTTCGAATTAATTCTGATCTTGAATTATTGCTTCAGAATGTCAGACGCCATTATTTATCTATAAATGCATCAACATTTTTGGTGTTTTTTTGATATAACTAAGGATTGGCAGGGAGTTTCAAGGCTGTACTGAATTTCTAAGTCTTGATATATCTAAGGTCTTCTTAGATTTATTAAGAAATTTTTTGAAATTAATTTCATTAAAGAGATCTTTTTAAATATAATTAGGGGTTTTCTGAATTTACTTAGGACATATCAGGAATTATTTTATCTAAATAAACAACAACTTTGGATTTCGATGTAGTTCTAAAGATTTCCTTACATTTTTAGACGTTGGCAGAGAATTATGTTGATATATTATTTTTAATTTATAAAAAGTTTTTCTATGAAAACCTAAGGATTTCTTGGGCTTTTAAAATTTTTCAGAGGATTCCCTTACATACTTAAGAACTTCTGAAATTTAAGTTTCTAATAATGATTGAAAAAAGTTTGAAGCCGAGATATTAGATTATGTCAAAGTGGTAAAGTGTCAGGTGAACTTTACCGAAAATTTTGTGTCTTAGGTGGCCTCTGGCAACGCATTCTCATAGAGTATGTGCTCAGCAGTCTCTGACACGTTGTTACAAAGTCGACTAGTTTGATTTTCAGCTTGTCCAATGTGGAAGAGATGGTATTTTAGGGACAGTCAGGAGCCTGAGAGCGACCTTAGATCCTCTTTGCTCAGGCATAAAACCTCTAAAAACCCTTCGCTTCTCTATGACCTGGAAATTATTTCCAGCGTAAGGCTAACTTTCAAGCCTCCCAACTAATGATTGCCTATTTTAACTGGCTTTTTTGTAGCCCACAGCCGGGTTTGAAGCCGAGGTCACCTTCACGTGCAATATGTGAAAAATGTGCTGGACACCATCATTTGCAGCCACATATTTTGTCTTTCTTCCTTGCTCAAATCTACAAGTAACGTTGGTAAAACGTCATCAAAAAAATTTCGTTACTTCTCCCCATACAGCATACCATCAATATAGTATGGACCAATCAATTTATGACCAATTATGCCACACCAAACATTAACTGACCAAAGTCGTTGATGTTCTACTTCACGCAACTATCTCGAATTTTTAACGTTCTAATAGTGCATGTTATGTCTATTGACTTGTCCTTAGTTTATCCAACCGCATTCGTTCTTGTGCTAAATATTAATCGATTTTCAAAATCATAAAGCTGTTTGTGCAATGAAATGGGGTATGGGTGATACTTGTTACAATTGCAAGTCGTAGTTGAGTTTTACATTTCCAGTGTTAGTGTTAGTATCATTCACAATTCTGTAAAAGTTACTTCTCGAAGGCGTATTTCGATCAGGAAAACGTTCTCGATACAAAGCTATACTATCAGCAACTTTTCTGCCACTTTCTCCATAAATAAAAATTATTTCGACTATTTCTGCCACACTTAGAGTATCCATGATTTAATGACTTAGTTTAAACACTTTGCCTTAATGTAAAACGATGGAATGAATTCAGAATTTGTTGCCAAGCAGTTTTTATCAGTTTATCTGTTACATTTTGAAACAATTCAACCAATTAAGTCTCTGAAAGCGATATTCCGAAAATGCCACGAACTCTTGTTTTTATGCGTTATTCTATTATCAAATTGACAAAGGCGGAGAAATGTCGGAATTTTTTAGACCTCTTTTCAAAGGTATTTCCGACGAGCCCGATGTACCTCTTCTGGATTTTTTTTGTTGAGCATTCTTAAATAGTATTCTAAGAATTAAGAACTAAAGACAATGTATCGAAGCGGATAGGAAAATGTTTAAAAATTCATAAATCTTATTTGTTCTTGCTAGATTATAAACGTTAGTTAATTGTTTCTGAAGAAGTTTCAATTTTTTTCAAAAGATGTTTTGCCGTTGTACTGGCAAAACCACACAGTAAAATTTTTTTGTTTTTTTTTTTAATTACTTTACTTTTATCCACAGATTCAGATTTTACAATAAAATATATAGGGTGCCATTTAAAATATTGTCAAGGTTCTGTTTGGGTAGCAGTGTTCGCAATACCTGTAAATCTCTTAATAGTCACAGATCTTGCTTTTGCGTTTGAATGTTTTTGTAATCTTTTTGTTCTACCTAAATTTGTTCTTAATTTCTGGGGAACCCTTTCGAGTACTGACATGGTATCGATAACGACTTGTTGTGGCCTTTGGTAGTATTCACCTAAGTATTATATGTTAAAATTTAGTAGTTAATGCTACGTCTTTACTCAATAAAAGTACGAAGATGTGTTCAACTAAAAATTTATTTAGAACTGAAACTGGTTTCCCAAATTTCCATCTTTTATATAAACAGTATACACAACACGCAAACTCAGAACGCTAAGATGCAAAACAAATCAAATTAAATTCTATAAATCTATAACACCCCTATCCTTATTTTTTTTTTATTTATTTATTTATTTTTTTTTTTTTTCAAAAACAAATAAAACTAAATAATACTCTAATTACATTCATAATTTGTGAACTTAATCATTTAAAGAAAACTAACTACTAACTTTAATTTCTCGGTCGCAAGTTATACCGAGACGACGACGGTATTTCAGAAGTTATATCTACTGTATTGCCAATTTCAATTTGTTCGCTTGTTGCGTTCTTCGGTTCTACAGTATCACTCGAACTAGGCTCACTCAGGAACGAATCGGGAGTGCACAAAGGAAGGGATTTTCGGATATTTAATGGTCTAATTTGATTGGAATGTCGCCTGACAATATTCCCTGAATTTGTCTTAACCTCAAAAATGTTTTGGCTTGGGTTTTCCTTAATTATTCCTTTTTCCCAAGTTGGCATGTTAGGTTTTGTATAAGATTTGACCAATACTTCCTCGTTCATATCCAGAACCTTATTTCTTTCTTCCGCATAACTACGTTCTTCTACTTTTGTCATGTTTCTTTCCACAATGTTTTGTCTATTCGGTATTAACAAATCTAATCTAGATTTTAAGTTTCTTCCAAACATGGCCACAGCTGGACTAACTTCGGTAGTACTTTGAGATATATTGCGGTAATCAAATAAATATCTACACAAAGCTATATTTATATCTTCTTTCTGTAATGCTGCTTTCTTTATTGCATTTTTAATTATTTTCACGGCATTTTCTGCAGCTCCGTTGCTCTGTGGATGATATGGAGGCGAGAACATTTGCCGAATACCATTCAATTTTAAATAATTACTAAATTCTGCAGAAGAAAAAGGAGGTCCATTATCGGATACGATCACGTCCGGCAAACCAAACTGGCAAAATATTTTTCTCAAATAGGTAATTAATGATTCTGCATTTGTGCAACTCATTTGCTCAACCTCAATCCATTTGGTGTATGTATCAATTAAAATTAAATAACGTTTACCAAAAATAGGGCCTAAAAAATCTAAATGAAGTCTACTCCATGGTCTATTTGTTAAGGGCCAGGGTCTAGGTGCAATTTTAGGTGGATTATTTATTACTGCGGCACAGATTTTACAACTTTTACACATTCTTTCAATATCTGCATCCAAACTCGGCCACCAAAAATAACTGCGAGCTAAAGCCTTTGATTTATTTATTCCTAAATGGCTCAAATGAATTTCGGCTAATAAAGCGCTACGTAATTTTGTGGGAATTACCATTCTATAACCCCATACTATACAGTCGTATTCCAAATGTAATTGATCTTTCTTATTTACAAAAGGTAAAAATTCATCCCCTATATCTTTCCGATCCGGCCAGCCGTGTAAGCAATAACTGTAAACTTTACTCAGAACTGGATCTATTCTAGTTTGCATTTTAATTTGTTTATGATTTATTGGTGGAAATTCTTGTAAATAGAATAAATAACCCATATCGACGCTCTCTTCATGTTTATGTTTTAACGGCAACCGCGACAATGCGTCCGCGATTATGTTCTCTTTGGAATTTATAAATTTAATTGAATATTGATAGGTCGATAAAATTATACTCCACCTTTGCAAACGACTAGCAGCCAGTACGGGAATGCCTTTTTTATTTCCAAATATACTAATTAAAGGTTTATGATCTGTTAATAAGGTAAAGTTTCGCCCAAAAATATACTGATGAAACTTTTTAACTCCATAAATTATCGCGAGTGCTTCCTTATCTATTTGCGAGTATGCTTTCTCTGATTGTGATAACGTTCTAGATGCGTATGCAATCGGACGGACTTCGCCATTTAACATTTCCTGCGAAATGACCGCGCCAATTCCATAAGAACTTGCATCACATGACAAAAATAAAGGTAATTTAGGATCATAATGCGTTAATACTCGTGGTGATCCCATTTCTTTTTTAATTGACTCAAAAACTACTTCTTGTTCTCTATTCCACCGAAAAGGTGCATGTTTCTTTAGTAATGCCTATAAAGGAACTAATTTAGAAGCAGCATTAGGTATAAACTTTGCGTAATAATTAACTAGACCCAAAAAAGCTCTAAGTTCTGTTACGTTATTTGGCGTTTTACATTTTAAAATAGCTTCGATTTTACTTGGAGAAGTATGAATTCCTTCTTTATCAATTACTACGCCTAAATATTCCACCTTTTTCATACAAAAATTGCATTTAGATATTTGTAGCTTTAATCCGTAAGTTTCTAATTTATTGAAAACTTCTTTCATAATTTTCCAATGTTCCTCTTTTGATTCGGAATATATTAAAATATCATCTAAAAACAGCACTACTCCTCGTACTACTCCTTGTACATTTACAAACACATTCTCCATTAATCGTTGAAATATTCCTGGGCTACTGGCTACTCCATAAGGTAATCTATTATATTTGAATAACCCTTTATGAGTATTAATTACTACTAATTTCTGTGACTCTTCATCTAATTCAATCTGGGAATACGCTTGTGATAAGTCAATCTTTGAAAAATAACAAGACCCTTTTAATGTAGCCAATAAATCATCAATTTTTGGAATTGGATATTTATCGATATTTAAATAATTATTTATAGTAATCTTATAGTCCCCACAAATTCGTATTTGTCCATTAGGTTTAAGGACAGGTACAATCGGTGTAGCCCATTCCGAAAAATTTATCGGTGTCAAAACTTTTAAATTAACTAACCGATCAAGTTCCGTTTCAATTTTATCTTTCAAAGCAAAAGGAACATGACGGGCTTTACAATATTTAAGAATAAAATTTTCTTTTAGATATAATTTAATTTTTCCTACCTTAAATGTACCTAATTTATTTTCAAAAACTTTGGGGAATGTTTGTTGTAAATTCTTTACGAATAGATCTGAATCATTTATAGAATTCGTATTAAATAAAGAATCAATTGAAATGCCCAATTTTTTTATCCAATCACGACCAATCAATGGTGGGCCACCATGATTAATGACGTATAATTTCAAATTGTTTTGATTTACGTCTTTATAATATACATTAACATGCAAAAATCCCAAAACAACAATTTTATTTCCATTGTATGACTTTAAATTTATATCAGAGATTTCTAATTTATGTTTAAGGAAATATCTATCATAAATATCCTTTGAAATGGCGGAAATTTCCGACCCTGTGTCAACTTCCATTATATAAACTTTATTGTTAATTTTTAAACTTATCTTTAACGGTTTGCATTTTTCGCTTGACATATTAAAGAAATTAACATTATCATCATTTGATTTATTTACATCGTTACTTACGTATTTATTAAATTTAGGTCTAAATTTTAAATTATTTTTATTATTCTTTACTTTAGAATGACATATGGCGCTAATATGACCAACCTTATTACACGTGTGACATTTCGCTTCTCTGAAGAAACAGTTGGCGGCGCTGTGATTTTCCTTTCCACAGTGCTTACATCGTTTCCCTCTGGTGGACGAATCTTGCGTTGACGATTTTCCCGGCTTGACTTCCTGTTGATGGCGTCCAACCACCTGGAATTTATTCATCTGTGTTGTTGATCCCATTACAAACCCCGCGTTGATTGCTGCAGATTCCATACCAATAGCTAATGTACACGCCGTATCGTACGTTAAAGTTGCTTCCGAAAACAAACGTTGACGAATTATTTCGCTTTTTAAACCAAACACTATTTGATCTCGAAGGTTTTCTTCCAATTGTGCCCCAAAATT